AGCTGCACCCAGTCCACTTAGCACCAGCCCCTCACTGATCCTCCTGCAGGTGGTGAGTCCACAGGAGCTGAGATCTTTCAGTGGGAGCTTCAGGCAAAGTGGGGTTAAGTGTCTTGCCCAAGGACACAACGATAGCAGTCATCAGAGGGAGTCGTGAAGTAGGTCTTATGGTGGGCTTGAACCCACGACCTTCAGGCCCAAAGGCCAATGCTCTACCAACTGAGCTACTGTCGCCCATCAAACCAGGCTCAAACCAATGAAAGAAAATGAAAGATCCACTCTCTATCATTATTTTTTCAACATAATAAATAATAAATAAACTATACATGAAAAATGTTCTGTGGCTCCATGAATATTGGCATTGCTCATTGATGACGCCTCCTTAACCCGCCTCTCGACAAAGGTCTAAAAACACACCTCACGTTCACACTGTTGACGCGGTTTAACATTTGACCACGGGTCCAAAAACACGGGCCTGTAGAAGCCTGCCAAACACAGCCTGAGTGCATGGAGAGGGGGAGCGGTGGTGGTTTATCACACAACAAACTGTTTGCCTGTAAGGAGGTTTGGATTGCTTCATTTTTTTTTCTTGAAGACCATGTTTGGCATGCAGTAGAGCATTCCTTTTCTCAGCGCAAGCATCTGAGGCAAAATACAACTACTGCCATCTGCTCCGACTCCCTGTGCTATCTCGTGACAAAGCAGATGATTATCAACTTCAGGCGCGCACCAGAGCGTCACCGCCAGCAAACTAAATACCATCAACTGTCTGGGATTTGAAAACCTTTAAAAAAACACTTGTTTTCATTTTCCGTCAAACTGATTTTTTTTCACTTTGCACAACGTCTGACATTTTCCTCTGTTCCAAACCGTTTCAAATATCGTGCAAATCTTCATATTATCTCAGCAAATGTATGCAAACTGCTTCCTTCTAGATGGCAGACTGACCATATTAAGCAAAATAGAAAATTTGCTTTCTTTTTCTTGTCTTTAGTCTCAAATTTGGGGAAAAAAATCCACTCCTCCCTACGGTGCATAGCATTTCTTAATACTTAATATTTTTCCTTTAAGGTTGTGATGAGCATTTTTAAATGTGCCTCCGTCCATCCATCCATTTTCTTCCCCTTGCACCCGGTAAACATAGCACCAGCCCGTTTAAATGTGCCGATTAAGATCAGTTGTAAGAAGAACATGCAGCAAGTGAGGCTGCAGGGGTCCATCTATTTTCTAGTCTATCATCTTTCCTTTAATAGAACATGTAACACAGCTTGCGTCTGGATGCTGTGGAGAGCTTGACACACTGTAAACACGAACCATTTAGTAATTTACTTTTTCATTAGGAAACAACTAAATGTGTCTATGGTACAGTTTGAAACACCAAGAGACTAAACAGTGTCCTGCTTGAATGAAAGTTAGTCACATGGGCTGCCTTGACATGCACTTGTGGAAGCGTTTAGTATTTGTTTCGTATGACTAGTTTCTTAATGAATGAATTATTTTGAACATGCAAATGAGTTCTACACTAATCAAAACAAAAAAATGAAAATACAGCAAAAAGCTATTTCTTTCCTTGTCTCTTCACTCAATGCAAATATGTTTATCATACACATGAGCTCAACACAAATGCTGGGCATAATTGATTTAGTTTTGAGCTCATATGTGAGATATGTATTAAAATATAAAAAAATACTTTCAGTGGATACTTTCACTATGTACTGTCATTGTAAAAGGAGTAAAAGGGAAAAGGCCTTTTGCCGTTGTCTGTATTTGACACATGGATTGATGAAAATTGATAACTACATATGTGCTCAAGAAGCTTTCCTCATGTTATGGGTTATGATTTGAATGCGCTGGAAACAGTAGCAGGTCCTATCTGAAGATATTGTGCTCTACAACCGTTATTTTTCTTACTATTTTTTAGCTGTAGATTATTTTTATTCCAGTAAAGTGTTTATGGTTTTACACTGATCCCTGAATTTCTCCTACGGGGATCAATACAGTATAAATATAAATAACTAGTAAAAATTTCACAACAACTAATTTTGACGGACATTATACTGTTTTTTGTGTGTAATGAATAAGAAAACTGAAAGTTACAGTGATGATAATGCAATAAAGACCAGTAATTCCAGCAAAAAACAAAACAAAAAACAATCGTCCTCTAATTCATGCAAAAACAGTTCATTGTTGGACCCTTAACCTCAATCTGAAACCTCACACTGAACGAGCAGAACATAGGTTAGAAGAAATGGTTTTAACCTGTTTTCCGCCTGCTTTCTTTCCTGAGCTCTAAATGGTGCTAGTGCCATGTGGTAGCCCTGAACTTCTTTGGAACTGTATTTACGCAGGGGTTGGGGTTGAGCTTTACCAGTTTCCTTTCTCAAAGCCTAATAATTGAATGTGTTCGGTGAGTGACGTGGGGGTCAGAGTGGGCTGGCGCAGGTGGCTATACAACTAACTCTGACTGACAGCTCATTTACCCTAAGCTCCATTACGGGCGAGCATTTGGGCTAAACACATAGATGCCTGGTTGTGTGTGTATATATATATATATAAAACTAAATCAAAGCTACTAAAAGGGTCATATACTTTGTTTGCCTTTTCAGTTGCCAATCACGGTCTATTTCTTGGCAAGTAAAAACTCCAACTGTGCGAACTAATGGCTGCTGTTCTTGATCTGGCATGTCTCTTCATTATAATTGTTTTCTTTCTTGCCAGCCTAGCCTATTCTTTGCTTACTGATCGCCAATAAACAACTCGACTCGCCTTCCCCGACCATTAGCAGGCTGTGCGTAGGTCGGGCTATCAACCCCCCATTAAAGCTGTGATTTACCTATGCGCGTGCTTAGTGTGGGGACTCTGTAGGAGTGCGTTGGCGCCTTGCACGGGCTTCACATTCATTAACAGTTTATAGTGGAGAGCATAATTAAAAGCTTGCTGTGTTGATAATTACCCTACAGCACCTGTCTCTGCGCGTTATGGTCTCTTTGCCCAGGTGTAGTATTCACCAACATCTTGGCAATGTGTCAGAGCTGATGGGGCGCCAAGGTTGCGTTCTCCATCTTATAATTCATTAAACATGGCATAAGGAATGGGAATAGTTATATGAAAACATAAATAGTAGCTTATGGTTATTCCCCCGCACCTTCAACACATATCTGATCTAATCACATTCACTAAATGAGCTGACCAGATATTTTCCCTATTGCAATGTCCTTGGACAGGGTTTATGTGAATAGAGCCTGATTCTGTATACATATATTTTTGTTTTGACAAAAGTTTACATTGATGTGCCATCGCAATGTTACCAAGAGCCTTTAGTTAAAAATTGTGTGCAGCTGAAAATCTTTCCTTTTAACGATGATAACTGTCAAAAGGCTTAACGCTAATTTCTCTCTAATTCTTGGGCCAATGCACTTGAAACAAAACCTTTACAAAATTCCATATCTTTTTGGTCAGTTCACATAGGCTATGGTCTTATTTTTCAAAGGTGCCTAAACGTGCCGATGACCTTAAAACATTCTCTTGGTCAGTAGAAAGGACTTAAAACATAAGAATTATACAGCGGGTTTGAGAAAATAAATGCTCCTTTCCCATAGATTGTATTGGCACCTACCCTTCACATGCATAATGCAATCTCCATCCATCCATTTTCTTCCCCTTAATCCATTTCTGGTGTAGTGAAGCAACTGCTGATGCACAGTTGAGTTCTTGCACACAGTGACTGCTGGTTGTCTCAACAGTGGCACTAGTTAGTATATAATATAGATTTGATTACATACAGTAGTTCAGTTTTATTGTTTCAAAGATAGGTATCCCAGCTTTAATAACATTCTGTTTGTGACCTGGAGTGAACGTTTGCAATATCCAAAAGCTACACCGTACACCTTTGCAGTGTATGGCACAATACTATTATCTGGACTCAAGCAGTGACTGTGGAGGGGCGAGTGTTGAGTCAGCAGTGCTCCTGGGGAATTGAGAGAGAGGGAAAGAGAGCGAAAGGAAGTGGGATTGAGCAGGGACACGATGTTTCATTAGCTTCAGCATTACTCACCAAGATCCCTATTACGCTCAGCTAAAAGTCCTTTGTATGGAGTCACTCTAGGCTTTGTGCCGTGCATCTTAGGGACTAAATCCACAACTCTAAACATGCCGCTGTGGGCTGAAGAAAAGAGTGAGGTGGGTGCAGGGGCTGTGGTGCAAGCTATTGTACCAAAAAGTGTGCCAGTCGGAATCCATTCGCGTCTACTTGGAATATCTCTCCTCCAGTTCGACAATAAGTGCCACAGTATTCCTTTCCCAAAATGTGAGAATACAGAATAGTGGTGACGTGTTTTAAATTCACATGGTTCTGGTTCTACTGAAGGTCTCTCTCACATTCAAAAACAGAAAAATGTCTCATTTTAAAGGATTAAAATAATGCGTAATATTTCTCTTTTGATATATGAAAAGACCCAAAACATAATATTATACTTTAATCCAGGATGTATAAAAGTGACTGCTGAGTTGCGGCGGTTTAGTGTTATCATTGGGATCCGTCCACGCTCGTATCAAGAACTTCTAGCACATGCATCGCTCTTTCTGTCTAAAAGCTCCTGTTCTCAGTCCTGTAATATTATGATGTCATTGTACCACTATGACATCATGCTCAGTGCAGCTCAGGCGAAATGGATGGATGCATTTCATTCATTACTATACTAGATGTAGACCAAACTATATGGTCTACATCTAGTATACATCTAGCATGCGTTAGCCGGCACTAGCCCCATTCATTTAACGAGTGCATTCTGAAATCCACAGCGGCTAAACTAGGCTGGTCCAAAAAAAAAATCTCCCCTCAACATTGACACACATCTGGAACGTAGCGTTTGGCCCAGAGCCGACTTTTGGACCTTCCTCTTTGCACCTCTCTATGTCTCTGATCTGACAAAGCTAAGTTCTTAATAATCATAGAAAGTTACTTTGGGCGAGATTGCAGAATATTGAGCATTTGGCCAATTTCACTCCTTCTCTGTAATCTGGAAGGCTTCATTGAGGTCCAAGCAGCTTCCCAAAGGAATGGTAAAGCTAAACACTCAAAAATAATGAATTAAACAGTATTTACCATTGAGAGTGGTGGGTGGGATTGGGCTAATATAAGCAAAATGCTTCATCCAACCCCTTTTCAAACCTTGAACATGTGTGTTTGAACATTTGTAAAGTGTGTTCCTTGTGCAGTTTTTGAAATAAATAATTCAATTTAATTCAACTCAAAGTTAAACGTAAAAGGTTGGAATGGCTTCACCTTATTAGAAAACATCTTTTCTTTAGCTTACTTGAGAGAAAAGCTCTCCATGTGAGTCATGTGTTCTATTTGAGACTTTGGGGCTGAGAGCTGATTGGCTGAGCTAAGGTTCAAAGGCTTACAATATGCCCTTTACAAAGTAGTGTTTTGATTAGTCGGATCTGTTTTAGTGACAAACACAAACATGTGTCACCCCTTTGAGAGAAAATGTTTTCAAATGTACAACTTTTTGACTGTTTTTACATCTGTGAGCCAATAATCAACACTATTACACATAACGCTTGATTCTGTATATCCTGTCTGTCACATGTTAGTTTCAAATATATATTTTTAAGTAAAATTTCACAAGTAAATAGACTTTTGAACAATATTCTAATCTTCAGAGTTTCACCTGTACATGCCAAAGTAGATTTTTGAAATATTTAAACGATTTTATGTGTTTCCAATGAAATTTGTGAATGATTCTACGTCATGGTGCTACGCCCCTTAGGACTTCGCTAGTGTCCCACTAGCGAAGTCCTAAGGGACGTAGCACCTATTCGTAGAACTTCAGTTACATAAGTAACTATTAATTATCATCAGATTGAAGCTAAATTAAATCACATGTGATTAAAGTGTTTTTCAAAAGGCCTTTTCCAGCTGCGGAACATCATAGAGAAAAGGTCCTTCCTCTCGTGATTATTATTAGTAAAGTATTAGTATTCCTCTTTGGTGTATTTCAGGTCAGTCTCTCCTCAGAGCCTGGATTTTTGTGCGTGGCTCCACAGTGAGCAAACGAGATAAACGGGGGACAACAGAGCAACAGAGCCGTGGTGTTCAAACAAGGTCGCCAATTAAATGTGTCGGAGCCCACTCAATACATGCCCTCCATATTCAGCATCTCTCCATGGAGACCTGCGCCTCATTGTCTGAAAGAGGCCGATCCTTCCAGTTTATACACGGGGTGAGGGGAGATTTTCATGAAAGCAACAAGTCTGACCTCACTTTGAAGCAGAGGTGCGTTTATCTTCCAGAGCAATGGGTGGAGGGGTGGGCGCGGGTGTAGCCAGGGGGGTCGAGGGGTGGGGGCGGGTGTAGCCAGGGGGGTGGAGGGGTGGGGGCGGGTGTAGCCAGGGGGTCAGCGTGAGTGCCAGGCAGAGGAGCAGTGTGGGATCCTCGTAGTGTGAAGGAGGAGCCGGAACAAGGCCTGGCATTATTTCAGCGTTCCCTTTTTTCACGCCTCCTCTTCTTTGGGAGAGGTTGAATGAGCTCAACAGGATAATGTCTGGACCAGAGCTGTGCTAATTATTTACAAAACCCACCAGAAAAAAACAAAGAATTAGGGCTGTACGATTAATTGTGAAAAATATAAAAGTCCCTTGGAGGAAGAAATTCATACAAAGTGAAGAAATAATCAACAAGTGTGCATTACAACTGGACATATTCTCAAATACTATTTGTATTGAATTTAATGAATGCATTAATGCGTTTTTATTTTTTTGTAAGGTATTCTCAAAACAAAATATGGTATTTTAAACATTTCTTATTTTCTTTCGAATTTGACTGAAATAGATATTTGTGTTTTTTCAATGGAAAATTGCCATTTTTACCTTTTTCATTGGCACATCTGCTTTACAACAATGTAAATATAGTATGATGTTGTAAAATAAAGATAAACTGCTTTGTCTTACAGTATTAGTTTGTTTTTTCCAATTTAACACTTACAAGTAGTTTGATTTATGCTATCTTACTTTTATAATATATATCCTTAATCACATTTGACTTCATCAGAAATGTATCAGAAATAATTTGCAGTTGGAATATTTCATTAAAACCTTGCAGCCAGAAGCGCTGGATATCATTTCCACAAACAGTAGTATTGCATCATTATTTTACATTCATTCTTGTGTGAGTAAATCTGTATCTGTCTGAATCTGTGTGAACTTGATATTAGGCACATTAAACAGGCAGCTCTCCCAGGTGGCCTCACCTCTCTGCAACATCTCATTTGTATCGTTTCTATGAAGTCATTTCACAAGTCTTCTTTAAAGTGACATTAATTCCCCAGTTGTTATGCAGTCAAATATTTGAACTGTAAAAATATGTGTGCGTGTGTGTGCGTGTGTGTGTGCAAGCACTGCAGTGACTGCGTCTGAGAGCTCTTAACGGTCTGTGCTAAAGTGTGTAGTCGGGCTGAAAAAAGACAAACAAAACATGAGCGCTCACTGTGTACTGAACACAAAAGAATCCTTACATATAAAGATGTCTCACAGTCTTCATTGTGGATCACATGTTGCCGTAGATACGACTATGGCAGTCCTTGACACCACTATTGCATATTCCACTTTTTAGCTCTATTGTGCAGTATAGGAGTACAAGAAATAATAATTCTCCTCGACAATCGACAGTCAGACACACTGTTATGAGATCAGGGCTGGGTGCTTTCTGGTTCTTGTTTGTGTCACACAGGACACGGAGCCTGAGTCCATCTATAAGAACAGGTGAGTCTTCACAGATGGGGAAGCGGGGCCCATGGGACTTCTCGCTCTATCGTTTGAATCTTGCCTCATAAATCTTTTATAAAGGATGTCAGTTTTGCTTATGCAGAGGGGAGTCAAATACCCCAGTCCGTTAGAAAGGATGGGTGAGCTTTACCCATTTGTTTTGTGTAACTGCAATATTCTTTGTGCGACCCTTTGGAAGAGCAATTGGCCATGAGTTCCCACTTTATCCAATCCAATCAAGCGCATTCAATAAACAGTGCTTTTCTTCTAAAGTTCTGCACATGAACAAAACAATACAATTTAGTCTAGTCTCTGCAAACATATCTTTCAAAAATATTTAGACCAATAATACAAACACATAGAAAAATGAATAACTACGTTAGAACAAGTCAATCAACAAACAACGCGATCCATGAATTCAAATAATTTGAAATCAGTTTCAATGTGTTGAGTTGTGGGCCACACTGTTGTGTTTGCATATATAACATGTTGTATACATAATGTTATTTTATCACTGCCATTCCCTTAATTCAAAGTCAAATGTGCAGGGAGTGGATTGAAGAACAAATGAAGTCACTATTATCTTCTAATGAGTGATTAGATGAAAGATTAGCCCAAGCGAAGTGACCGGGTGAAAGACATTACAAATATTCTCCAAATATGATTGATGCAAGTTTTTACTTAATTTATTTTTTAAGGGCTCCTTAGCACTTTAACTGGACCAATTCTGGTTCACTTGGGACAATGATACTGTGTATTAAGATTAAGATCAGGACATCCTTTAATAATTCCACAGGGGGGAAATTAAGATAAGATAAGATAAGATTGCTTTATTTATCTCACAGAGGAGAAATTTACATGTCACATTTGGCATGGATAGAGACACTCAGATTGTGCAAAAGGAGGAAATGTGCAAACATGTTACATGCAGGATATATGTACAATAAAGTGACAATAATTATGTACAACAAAAGTGACAAGTGTCAATTGGAAACAGTGTCAATAGTAGTGCAGGTTTTCACACAGTGATTATTTAAAGTGACTTATTGTACAGTCTGACAGCGGTGGGGATAAAGGCCCGGCGGTAGCGCTCCTTCCTACACTGAGGGTGTCTCAGTCTTCCACTGAAGGAGCTCCTCAGCTCCTCTACAGTCCTGTGCAGTGGGTGGGAGGTATTGTTCATGATGGAGGTGGCTTTGGCTAGCACCCTCCTGTCCCTCACCTCCTCCACAGAGTCCAGGGAGCAGCCCAGAGTGGAGCTGGCCCTCCTGACCAGCTTGTTCAGTCTGTTTCTGTCCCGCTCTGTGCTGCCCGGGGCCCAACAGACGGCAGCGTAGTAAATGGCAGAAGCTACCACAGAGTCATAAAAAGTCCTGAGCAGAGGCCTGCTCACTCCGAAGGACCTCAGCCTCCTCAGAAGGAAGAGGCGACTTTGGCCCTTCTTGTACAGGGCGTTGGTGTTATGGGACCAGTCCAGTTTATTGTTAATGTGAACACCCAGGTCCTTGAAGCTGTCCACCAGCTCAATGTCCTCCCCCTGGATGTTCAGCAGCGTGTGGGAAAGTGGTTTTCTCCTGAAGTCGATGATCATCTCCTTGGTCTTACTGGTGTTCAAGCACAAGTGGTTGCGCTCACACCAGTCGACAAAGTCCTTGATAACCGACCGATATTCCAGTTCGTTCCCCTCAGACACACAGCCCACGATGGCGGAGTCGTCGGAGAACTTCTGCAGGTGACAGCTGTGTGTGTCGTGTGTGAAGTCTGAGGTGTAGATGGTGAAGAGAAACGGTGAGAGGACAGTGCCCTTAGGGGCCCCAGTGCTGCAGACGACCACCTCAGACTCACAGCTGCGCAGCCGCACGTACTGTGGTCGGTCTGAGAGGTAGTTGATGGTCCATGCAGTGAGGCTACTGTCCACTCCCGCGTCCTCCATCTTCCCCCGCAGCAGTGCCGGCCTGATGGTATTGAAAGCGCTGGAGAAGTCGAAAAACATGACCCTCACAGCGCTCCCGGCGGGCTCCAGATGGGAGAGCGTCCGCTGCAGGAAGTAGATGACGGCGTCCTCTACTCCGATGTTGGGTCTGTAGGCGAACTGCAGCGGGTCCAGGGTGGGGCTGACCACGGAGCGGAGATGGGTGAGGATGAGCCGCTCCATTGTCTTCATCAGGTGGGAGGTCAGTGCGACTGGTCTGTAGTGAGCCGGTTCCTTGGCGTGTGCTGTTTTTGGAACCGGGATCACACAGGAGGTCTTCCACAGGACAGGCACCTTCTCCAGGCTGAGGCTCAGGTTGTACATGTAGCTGAGGACCACAGAGAGCTGGTCTGCACAGGTCCTCAGCAGCCTGGGACTGATCCCGTCCGGTCCTGCGGATTTCCTCAGCTTCAAGCGCTGGAGCTGACTTTCAGTGTTGCATCAGAACAGTAGGAATGAGGAGCACACAGATAAATGAACAATAACTCAGTTATATAATTAAATACATTCCTTAACTTTAGCAAGCATAATAGAGCATATATCGCATAATAAAGAAGCAAGTCTAAAATCATCAACTTTAGCATGATAACAAAGCAAGAATTAAGTACGGTATACAATCTCTGACTTATTTTCTCAGTATCTATGAGTCAATAGTAAAACCCTGGGAATAACATATTGCGATGTGACACTCTCTTCTTCTCAACATCGATATGTGAAGAACAACGACAGAGATTCTGGTGAACAACAGTTTGCTGTGATCAAACTTTAGGGAATAACACATATTTTTTCCATTCAAACCTCAGCGCTCACCAATTCATCTTTTTCAGTGTCAGAGTAAATGACTATTGATTGCTTTGCTGTAGGGCTGGCTTCACACCATGATAACTGCTAGTCTGACTGAGATAGCTATAATAAACGCCACTCGCCACCCCAGGTCTGAGAGCGGCGCCCAGACTGATGCTTGGCGTGATCTTGAACACGCATTCGATTATATCTTCCATCTTTTGAATGTACTGTCATTATTGATGATTTTTAATAACGTCTTGTGTGATTTTTTTTTCTATTTTGTTCTGTTAAGCACTTTGAGTTGCCTTGTGTATGAACTGTGCTATACAAATAAACTTGCCTTGCCTATGTCTTGAGGCCTTGAGGTAAGAAGCAGTACTGTGCCCTTTCATGCCCTTGTCACACTGCAGAAAAATATTAATTATGAGGTAATAATTGCTTTAATCCAGTGAATTTTATCTTAATTTCAGTACAACACTGTATGATAACAAGATTTGCCAACGAGACAAAGCCATTAAGTTATTTTTCAAGAACTGTTGCTTTATTTTGTCATTCCAAAGGAGACATTTCTTTAATCTTTTTAAAACAAGATAATTTGGCTAGTCCTGTTGGCATATCTTGTTTTAAGGCAGTCAAAATGTGCTCAAACTGAGATACATTTTGTCAAATTTGAGCAATTTCAGATTTTTTTTCCATCACTTTCTGCGCTATGTTTGGAGAGTTTGTTCACTCTGGTACACATGTATGGTTCTATGGGCTGCACAAATCGACACAAAAGGTCATTTCAGTTTCCAGCAGATTGATGAATGGCAAGGAAAAGAAAAAGATTGGAAGATTCATACAAACTTTGAGCCAAACACATATTGACTTCTCTCTGCTCACTTCATTGGAGCTATGCACATGTAAATAATGTAAATCTGTTTTGGGTTCAAATGTGGGGTACTCTCCTCAC